ATTTCCGGAGTTCACAATGGCCGCGTAAATGAGTATTTTGGAGAATACTAACCCTAACCCTTTTAAGAGTGGTAAAAGGTAAACTGGATCCATGTTCAGTCTTCTAAAAAGGGTTAGGGTTAGGGCTTGTATTCTCCAAAATACACATTTTTATGAAGCGGAATTGTCGATTCCGGCAATTCCCGAACCTCGAAAATGTTTCATGATTTAACCAGATTTATGAAGACTAATAAAATAATATTGAGTTTACATCTTACTTAAAATATTCTGTATTTCGCCTCAGTAGCATAGTAGCGTTTGTTTTCAGTTTCTTTTCACTCAACAGTACAAAACATCATTTGGCAAAACCAGATGTGATTGTATATATATATATATATATATATATTAAAGATATATTAGGAGAGATTAAACTAACAGCTACCAGTTCTCAATATAATAGTTAAAAACTAGATAATGTAAAGGGAATATGCTGAAAATTTCAGTCAAATTCCTTCACTCTAAGCCGAGAAAACCTTATTTTAAAAACTTTGTAGCCTCGATTTTCATTGTTAGCGCTGTCACGATAAGTAACAAAGTCTCGATTATCCATTTTTGCGTTTAATCATCAACGGATGTTGAACAACAGATCGGATTCAAATCCATTAAAAATCGAACAAATAAGATGGCATCGAAAGTTGATTATGGTCTTTTCATGTTAAACATACATTATGCAAGAGCTAAATCTGCCTATTACAGGTCTTTCTTTAGGCCTGCAATGTTATATAAACTATTAATTATACATTAATTAACTTAGCCAAACCATAATCAACTCTCGATGTCATCTTATGTGTCGAATTTTCACTGAATTTGAATCCGATCTGCCGCTCATTGATGATTAAATCCAAAAATGGATATTCGAGACTATGTTTTTTATCGTACCGACTTTAGTTATGGTGATCGAGGCTCGATTTGAAATTCAAAAGCTAATAATTCGGTTCAGAGTGGAGTAATTTGACTGAAATTTTCAACATACTAGTATTCTATTTACGTTACATATTTACGTTACTAAGAAAATGCGAAATACCACGTGATCCCAATTGAGTATTCACTGGTCACTACTGGTAAGTTCATAGCTGTGTTTTTCTTTATTTAGTTTGAGTCATTCTATGTGTCTATAACTAGTCTGCGTCTACGTTGACAACAAATATGGCAACTGACACAAAAAATTTCGATGGTATGTTGTGTGAATCGTCTTGAGTTCTGGGTTTACAGATCGGAACTGATGTCTAAAAAGTTAATGACTTATTGACTCATTAGCTACCAAGAGACAGACACGATCGAATCTAGCCCGGAGGGGAAAAATAATGCTTAAACACATATAGACAGATATTACTTTCAGTGCAGTTGCGATGCGTTAAAACACGCCTATATTTATGAAAAGCGGTTGATTTAGTTACTCAGGAACTACAATGCTTCGTTCGTTCGAGAGAAAGAGAGAGAGAAAAATGGGGTTTAATGTCCAGTTGGCACAAATTAGGTCATTTCGGGACTAACACATGGTTCAATTTTATTTCAATAATTCGCTTACGCGTAGGGGTCTTTAGCAGTGGGAGGAATCCAGAGGACCCGGAGAAAACCCACCGTTGGTGGACAGGCGACCCTTGTCCTTGTCACGTACAGTCGGGGAATCGAAACCACGCCAGTTGACTCAACGACAGACCTTATATTACAACGCGCACGCGCTAGCCATTCGGCTATCCAATCCCCCTACACTGTTTTGAAAGACCAGGACAAAAATGACACACCTAATATTTTTTATGAAACCCGTACTGAGTATAATAAATAAAATATCAATAACTACGTACGGTAAACACGAGACAGTGGAATCATTTAAAACCGAAAAGAAAAGTGCATTTTCCCCAATCTATAATGACCAAGCCACTATTGAACAAGGCGTATCGCAATTTCAAGTCAGGAAATAAAAGATTTAATATCAGAAAATTAGCTCTGGGGTATTAGCACCAATAGATGCTTTTAAATGGCTGCTTAATTGTTCATCAAAGGAATGGAGCTTAAAATGCCTCAGTTGATGTCGACATGAACCTGATAAGAGTTCTTTTGGCCTTATACAAATGTTTTATTGTCAAGCTTTAAAGCTGCTTCCTTGGTCCCAGACAATTATATCGTGGTGATAAATGATCGTTGTGTTTATACCGTGCGAGTTGTAATTAGTATATAAATGTCCTCTGTGGTATTCTGGAAATATGTATTCAAACACCTTATAGTCGAGATTTATTAACTTTTCTCAAACACATATTTGCGTTAAATACCTTACGTAGGGGAATAATTAAGGCCCCAAACTGAAATTTAAATTAATTGAATACGGCTCAAATGAACAAATCTCATTTAATTGGGATGTTCCCTTTCATACCGATTTTCGTCTGATCTATGTATACTAAAGAATTACGAATGCAACAGAGTTTGGGTCTTGAACAATTTTAATTTCATTCATGATCGATGGATTATAAACTCTATTTCCACCAGAGTTTGTTTATTATATAAACTTCTCTTGGTATCCTTTCTGTACTGTACTTTGTTAAACGTATGAGTATAAAGGAGATTTGATATATCACATTAGTACATTTTAGTCAGGACAGGAACCACTTGTAGACCCCTGGTCAACCATTATCATGGTTTGTGACGTATTACACAAGAGATCAATACGCTCGACTAATCAGGTGCTCGAGTCGATGATTGACAGTTGTGTTAAAGATCAAGGCTGATCTATCTTGTGGTGTGACAGACCGTCCCTCATGGTTCCCGGTGGTAAACTCTTGATACCATCTTCTCTTTATTGTAATCAGGTAACCAGTCAAACGGTTGAGATTAATTAAAAGACATGTGGCCCTCAGATCTAAACTTTGATCTAGGACCAATAATTTTATTATTTTATTAATAGTGCCGGTCTTCATTAGCCTAGTCGGAGCAGAACAGTAGCGCGTTAAACCCCATTTTATTTAAATTCATTTAATTAATAGTGTTATCCGCTGATTGACAGATACATACATACATATATCAAAGTGGCGGTAGGTGTTCCAGTCATGACAGGCGTGTCCCTTCTTCACGCACGACACCCGATTGACAGCGGGGCCGCAAGTACTCCTTTCTCTAGGTTTTTGCACGCAAGTAACCATTCGGTTAGATGCAATGACGTAACTGGAAGATTCCACATTTTAACATAGAAGTGAGACGTCTAGAATGTAGACTTTCAGAAAAAAAAACCCTGTTATAAGCTACTATATACTGATCCCCCAGTTGCGAGAGTCGCGATTTGTTAACTGAACAGTCGATCTTTATTTCAAGTCCATCTCTCTTCCGTTGTATCTATGGCAGATTAGGTAATTGAAAAACAACAGGATAGCGTTTTTCTCACACTCTTTCCGTGTGTTCCATATCCAAATAATTCACTGCGTTTTCGTGGTATGCGATTTAGAAAAGAACTAAAACTTTCCTGCTGAGTAATTTCATTAGCCAGAAATCGCTAAGAAAGAATCTCCGACGATCTAGACCCCCAGGAAATTCAGGGACCTAGGCGGCTCCGGACCCCTTGCCTCCACAATCATAAATTGCTTCCGCCGGCCCTGCGTGCTCAACCAATCACCGAATTCTGGCTTAAAGTGTTTAGTCACACCCTGTCCCTGAATATTGGTAGTGCGGATTTGTTCGAAACGAAACGAAATGTCGAAAACATTAACAAATAGTCGGACGGCTAACCTAACGGCTCCCATAACGGAGATACGGTTTATAAAAATTCTTAAAAAGATTGGACACTAATTGGAAGTAAGTGACGGGCTAGACATAAATCATGGAGAACTATGGAGGTTGTTTCAACCCAATTTCTGTTTGCCTTAAATAAAATCAGCGGGACGTAGTGCGTATATATATATAAATCTGAGACCGACTTTCGTCTACGCACAGGCTATGAGAAATCCAATGACAGTCACAATGAGGTAAAGGATAACACCAGATGTACGTGTTTTAAAATACCTCGCAGCGGTTAAAATGACTCTACGTTTACATAATATAGAAAAAACGCAACTGAGCAAACGTGACCCTGTATTGCGTTCACCTTAAAACGTCTTTAATTGGAAAATTTTGTTGGGAATACTATAGCATGTGTATCAGATTCAGTACTGTTATCAACTACATCTTTATTCTAGCTGAAGAGATGAAATTCATAAAAAGGACAAAATTATTGATTCGGTAATAGAGCCAACATTGATGCTTGTTATAAATACATTAGCCAGATTATTTACCGTGTTAAAAACTACAATTTATCACTGAAAAAAAAAGAAAATCTAATTGTGTTTGATTCCGCGCACTCCAAATGACATTCTAATATTGTAATAATGAGCCTATTTAAAAGACCGTTATAGTTAAATTATAGATATCTACACTGGGATCATTAATCAACCGATTTCAACTATTACAGTTTTAGAAACTACGATCTTCACAGCGTTAACCTATTGCGTCGATCCCTTAGTACATCGACTTCGGGTCTCCGGGCAAACATGACACATAGATATCCACGTCAACCCATGCGTTAATATATCTGTAAATCTGGGGTTTTTTTAGGCAAGAACAAATGAACTTCGGATTAGTGAATTTCAGGTTAAATTTGAATTTTCGTTTCTATTAGAAATTGGAGCTTTTTTTTTGTTTCCTTCATGATTTTTCTGAAATTGACACAGCGCTTGAATGAATTTACTCCTATTATAAATTAACTTTTATATTTTTTTATTTCTCATACATTCTATTAATTATTTTGAGGACGCGTCCTTATTCCCACTTCCTGTACACTTTTACACAAGAAAGAAATATTACAAACGCCCTCTTCACATTAATCATAATGTAATCTTTTTGTTTTATTAAATATCAATGTATATTGTACATATGTAATAATTTAAGAAATACATACACGAAACATAGAATGTAGATGATAAGATTTTTTAAGACAAGAATACAACTCGGGTATATTGATTAGCATGACACTTAATCCTTTCTATAATATAAATTCCTTCGTTACATTTAATAAACTATAACATCTATAATTAAGTACTATGATGATATTTATGAGCAACTAAGCTATTAAAAAACTAAACATTGGTTCAAAGAAATCGAAAGTGTTTGTATATTTCTGATGTCGATATCATCAATTTCCATATCAAGATGCTTCAAAACCTTCCCGTTCGTTCAAATTTCAACACTTTGAAGATGGAGATGCAACAACGCAGTTATGTGGCCTAAAACTATTTGATAGGTATACAACTTGAATCGATTATATAATTATAAGATAACTATTCACTTACTTTCACCGTATTCAACCAATTACAAAATCTATCAAATACATATTCAAATTGCATAATCATTTGGATACCGGCTCAGTTTAACGCCCTACTTTTCTACACCATCCGGGCTAACGAAGACGGGGGAACCTTTTACATGGTACAGCCTGCTCTTATTTCGAACGCCAGTGCTTTTACTTGCACGCTAACGTGTACACGGTACCTCGGTTTTTCGTCCCATCCAAATGACCAGACCTATGAGACTTTCCATCTCGCACCACCGACAAGGGGTACGCGCGTATATAGAGTACAACTATTTATATTGGATTATCCCAATAATAACAGCGAACTTCTGTGTTTCTTCCCGATGTTAGTTTTTGCCAATTTACGGATTCATAAAAACATTCTATTAAATAATTAAGGCAACCAGTCCAGCTTGTCCTTTGATCACCATGCAAATTAATTGAATTGCAATTCGTATGCTCTTTAAGAAGATGCACTTTAAAAAAAATATATGGATCGATAAAGCAAGTAGGTGTGGGCACTAGACTCTGTGCCAGACTGAAAGGAACATTAAGTAGTTATTCTATCAACAGAGATGATATTTATTTGATTCAGCTGAAAGTTTATGGAGCCAACTCTTATTCACACAATTCATACAACATCACGAATTTACATTTTAAAATGAAATACTGTCAAACCACAAATACAATTATGTTTTAAATGATAGTTTACGGTTATATGGAAGGTACAGATAGAACGGACAAATTAATATAATATATAATATAAAAGAATATAACATATCGGGGGATTGTAGGACAGAAATTGGGAGCCGCCCTAATGAAATAAAAGCAGTATTAAATGTTACATGGTAAATTAAATTATCACCGGGGGTGGCAGATGTGCTGGAATTGAACGTAGCGGAGCGAAATACTGGATAGGAAGCAGTATGGTCTAACACACATAATACTAAATCAAACAAGACAAAATTAGGCAGGTCATCTTAGAACAACAGGGAATGGAAAACGGGAGAAAATAGCGGGACACAGCAGGACAAACCAAGATTGGGCATGTTATATACAGGACAGACGTGGAAGTGTAGAGTCAAACGGATAGATGCCGGACCTAATTATGTAATGTGGTAGAACTGTGTTGTGCAGAATATATCACGGAATTAAAATACTGGACCTATAGGTAGAGTTGATCACAGGAGAACTGGGGCAGAACAAGATAGAGTTGAACATAGGGAAATAGACGTGGGGCAGAAATTAAATGAAATGAAATGGGGTTTAACGTCCTACTGTTCTGCTCCTAAACTGGGCTATTAAGACGGGCATACGCCATACAGTGTGCTATAAGGGAAATTTTGCATATCGAATTCCAACTGCCAAGGGATATTTTACGTGCACACCAATCTGTACACGGGACCTCGGTTTTTCGTCCCATCCGAACGACTAGATACCTGTCCTTGTCAGGCCCTCTGTCCTGCATAACTGACAAGGGGAAACTGGATGAAACGTGGGACAGAACAAGATAGAGTAGAGTGTAGTACAGGAGAATAGATGCAGGATGGAAAAAGATAGAGTAGAATGTAGTGCAGGAAAATAGATGCTGGACAGAACAAGATAGAGTAGAATGTAGTATAGGAGAATAGATGTAGGGCAGAACGAGATAGAGTAGAGTATAGTACAGGAAAATACACGTAGATGCAGGACATCTGATAGAGTAGAATGTAGTACAGGACAATAGATGCGATAAATAATAAGACAAGAGTGTAGTCCAGGAAGATAGATGAAGGACAGAACAAGATAGAGTAGAATGTAGTACATGAGAATAAATACAGGACAGAACAATATAGAGTAGAATGTAGTACAGGAGAATAGATGCAGGACAGAACAAGATAGAGTAGAATGTAGTGCAGGGGAATAGATACAGGACAGAACAAGATAGAGTAAAATGTAGTGCAGGAAAATAGATACAGCACAAAACAAGATAGAGTAGAATGTAGTATAGGAGAATAGATACAGGACAGAACAAGATAGAGTAGAATGTAGTATAGGAGAATAAATGCAGGACAGAACGAGATAGAGTAGAATTTAGTACAGGAGAATAGATGCAGGACAGAACCAGATAGAGTAAAATGTAGCACAGGAGAATAGATGCAGGACAGAACCAGATAGAGTAGAATGTAGCACAGGAGAATAGATACAAGATGGAGAATAGACATATGACAGGACTCGGAAACTACAACATAGTACAATACAAAGAAAACGAACACCAGATTATACTGAAAGGCAATACGCGTAAATATTCTAGAATCGAGTAATAGAACAGAATAGAATGCTATAGAAAGACCACACAACGAGAAGCACACATAACTAAACTATTCCAACTTAAACATTTATAATTCCTATTTAAGGCATAATCGACAAATCTTTAATTTAACACCCTACTGTTTTTTCTAAACAAAATCGATTATTTATGTGCAAGTACCTTGATTTCAAATAGAAGCAGAATATTTTAAATGATAATTTGAAGGTTCATTCAATGAGATAGTGATGATGGGAATTGCAGTATTATTGGCATAAATATGGCAACTTTTCTGCTAGGAATGTTTGCGTAGATTTGCTTGTGCTATATTTTGTAAAGATCTGAGTTCATTGAACAACTCTCTTCCGCTGTAGGAGAGCGAATCAAGTTGAGCGCTCACTTGTCCAATATTTTTCATAATAACATCTGGGAACGTTAATGGAAATAATAGGCGTTTGAATAATAATCTATTCATATGCTTCATGTTTGTTTTTGCATTAAATCCTATACACTGTGCCCTTAAACACTTTAAATCATACTCGCATTTATCGTCATCGACAATTTTAGGATGCAAACCGCACTGAGGTTCGATATTGTTAACATCGTCTAAATCGATCATTTTTATTGAATAATCAACAAAAAGAAAATGTCCCTCTTTAAAATCAGGAACGATTAACGAACCAAGTGGAGAATTTTCCAAATAGTCCAAAAAGTCGGCTAGTTCGACGGCTTGTTGAAGTCGTAGTTGCCACGATTCGAGTTGCAGACTGTCCACAACAAATCGTTGTCCATGTTCGTAAACAGCCACGACGCCATGCTCTGAAATGTCAGTGGAGTCACTCTCCTCACTACGAACACAATATCCTAATAAAGAGACCAGATTAGGATGATTGATCTGTTCTAAAAAGAGTATTTCCTTCATCAGTTTCATTGTAGGAATTGCAAAACATTTTGATCTTGTTTGTGGCGTATCCACGTTCCTTTGCTTAATATCATCAAAACAGTCTCTCACGTCACGCAAATGTCGGGTGACCATTTTAACGGCAACGTGTTCGCCATTATATTCACCAAGAAAAGTTTGTTTAGAAACGCCATGGCCGATTTTCTTTTTTATTTTGATATCATGAATATTTGAACAGTTAAACAGATAACGGGGTCTTTGAATATTGAAATGTTTCCAATTCCGAGTAAGATCATTATAAACATCATTATTTTTAGAAACAGTGCTTTCTGCTTTGAGATCCCGGGAGATTTGAACGTGGTTATGTGGCGACCTTTTGCCGTCGTTATTCGGTTGATTATTTGAGAAACTTTCTCCAATGTTTTCTTGGAATGGAAACGAGTTCGTCTGCCCCGAGCGTTGCTTATGTTTAACTAATAATTGATATGCCGACTCAAATGGATAGGAAGACGTATCTCGAGGGAGATTTTGTAATCTAATTCCATTAAAGCGTCCATTTAAAGATGAATAATCCTCAGAGTAACTCCCTATAGGACATACTCGGAACATAGCAACGTACATGACGAATATGTAACCGAACAGTGGAAACATTAAAATAAAAACAAGTCCCTTTGTCTTATCCCGAATCATGATGCAAATTGGTTTCTAATAAAACCATAAAATATAATACAAACACCTTATTGCATTCACTGGAGAAACTTAAAATCTAATAAAACTCGTTTTTTGATCACCATTTTTAATCATGTTTGGCAAGAGTTCGGCAGATGTGGGAGATCGTAGTTTCGTATATATCTAACAGACTTGACGTAATTAGATTTAAACGTATTCAATTAATGGTGTGGTATCTGGTTGAGACACAGTGTGAATCCCTAGACATGTTATCAACAATACCCACTTCTCATTTCATTGACGTATTCGACTGACGGAAAATTTACGAAGTGTTTCTGGCAGACCTGTTAGCGTACAGTGCTGTTCGTCTGTTGTTAATTCCACTCGAGTCTTTCACTTTTATTATTAAATTTCTATTCTGGATACCAATGTTACAATTCATTTTCGCGCCTGTTCGTCCGCTTTAAATAACGTTTTCCTCATAAACAGCATGTAGCGTATGGAATCAAGCGCAATCATCCACGACAAAACAAATGGTTTAAATTTGCTGATGTGGAAATCAGCTGTTTTACACTCGGATTGAAGCACACACAACATTAACTTAATGGTTACTTACAGGTCAGAGTCACTGTTTTAGAAATTTTTTTAACTAAATGCACACACAGCGTAGAAAACACGTGAATCCCAACGATAAAAATACCGAAGAGAATTGTATCGACAATTTATTTTATCCGTTTACAAAACAGGCATTCAACAGAAGAAGTAAACACGCGTCATACTTTGGGGTATTGGGGATTTCCTGTGCGATATTGATGTTATTTGTACTTTTATCACCAAAGGTGTCAGAATGAACCCACGGCAGATGACGGTGATCTGTCAAACATTTTCATTAGATGGACCGATGTTTATTAAATTATTTGAGAACTTGTCACCTTCTAGCACGTTATTTATATTTGATGTTGTCACGGAATGATGGCGGCTATAATGATCTGTCGTCTGTTTCAATAACTATGACCCATGATGTTATCGGGACTTTTGACAGCTTCTGCTCCTGCAAAAATAACATCATATATTATCATGATTGTAAGCGAATATACATGGCATTCAGGATAAAGATTTTATAAATATAAAAATAGGTGTATTTTATATAAATAAATGACCACAATTAGAGACTGAAACAGAATGTCCTATCCAAAACCTTGATGTTCTTGCAATGGTTCTGACAAATCACTTTTTGGAGCTCCCACATATTACAATTCGACCAATTTGACTAAATTTGATAAAATTGCATAATACTGGAAGAAAAACAGAATAAATTGAAATGTTTGTGTAAAATAAATGCTACAACTAGCATAAATCTGAAATAAAAGGGGAGGACATAATTATTAATTACCCGTTCCCCCATCTCGCCCCATTCTGATAATCCAACAGTAGGGGGAAATCACGTTAGTCAGATGGTTATAAAATTGTACACAAGACTAGAATACACCGGGTTCTAATCAATAAAGGTGCGTACAAAGTGGCAGTGAACGCAAAAGAACCCCCTAGAAAGTTGTCACCTCAATCAATGCACACGTAATTATAATAAACAACATAGCCAGATTTGAAAAACAGTGACATCTTTCTAGAACACCTGATACCACGTTTCGTTGTTCTACATTTGTATTCGACACGCTTCCTCTGAATTAAAACCTAAATTGAATGAAATGTCCCTTTAATATGACGTGCCTGTGGACGAATTAATACTTTTCGATGACAAAGTCATAATTTTGGTCTGTCTTATTACTGCAATAGACGGTTCTTTCGATTTCCATCTTGTGTATAATAATTACATATAGATTGTCAATTTAGCATCGTGATCTCTGGCTTATTTTAGAACGAGATCGAGCAGGGTTTTACAAAAATCTCCGTATTCCTTCCTAGAAGTTCTACATTTTTATTCGGTGCATCGATTTTCGAAAGTTTAATACTGGTTTTAATTTTATGTTTTAGACCAATAATTTTATTTCTAGACAGCCATGCCTTAAATGAACTCTTAACCTTGGTTACACGATAGGTGGGCATTTTTTTAAAAAATATTTAACCAAATTATTTATGACTTTGATTTTTCTTGTGTTAGTTTGCCATTTGCATTAGACAGTTGCGAGTAAACGTGGGGAATAGAGAGATAAACTGTCTATTCGTATCTTCATGGATTAGCCTATTATATTTCAATTGAACAAATGTAACACGGAACATGTTTATTGAACGTTATAGAAGTAATGTCAAAAGTAAATTATGGTTTTAATAATTCATCAAGTCTTAATTTAATCTATTATAATTGAGTTAAGTAAAATAACCAATATTTGGATTGAGTGAATTAATGTAATGTAAAACCATCAACAACAAAAATGGCGACTGAACGATCACACAGCTGAAATGGAAATGGCAACGTGTAATAAAATGTCAATTATATGTATTAGCTTTCTAGTTGATGATGTTCGTGTGATTATTTTCTTTTGCAAATCTATGGATTTCATCATTGCCACCAGAAAAAAAGTAAACAAAACTACTCTCGGATCAAACGTCATTTTGTGGTGAAGAGATGATCGTGATATTAACATGTTCGGAGTTCGGCATTCTTAATCATATCTATCAAAAAGGTTCATGAGGTCGAACTGAAGCAAGAGTAATTGATATAGTCCAGACAAGCTCCTCTTTACCAATCTTCGTGTCGACAACTAATTGTTTTTTCTGTCTTTGATGTTTTAATTATTTCCACGTGCAGACTTGAAATGAATATCTTTTTCATTTTCTTTAAGGATTAAAAGATTCCTAGCGTGCAGATAACCAATTCTGGTTGAGACTTTCATCCGGGAAATTTACAACTCCGTCGCGTTGTCTGTTCGTTTTATGGCGCAGAACAAATATCCTGACAGTGTTAAAGCAACGTCGGTAATTTACAGTTTAGTTTCAAATGAGCCATATCAGAGAAATCATTACCTAAATAGGCTTATTCGGCAGATGTACCGGAAAATCTGTGACTTAAAAGATCCCAAATCATTGTCATTGGGGGTGTTTCAAACTGAATTTCATCCCATATTCCAACACTGTTTTGAAGCAAACAATATTCAAGTATGCCTACAGAAAATCATAGCTCAGACTGATAGAAACCATGGCGCATATTGTTGGAAAACCATAGCTCAGATTGATATACAGTCTGATAGAAATTCATAGCTCAGGCTGATAGAAAATCATAGCTCAGGCTGATAGAAAATCATAGCTCGGTTTGATAGAAAACATAACCCAAGAGGATAGGAACCATAACTGACAGAAAACCATAGCTCAGACTGATAGAAAATCATAGCTTAGATTAATTGAGAACCCTAGTTCAGATTGATAGAAAACCATACCTCAGATTGTTAGAAAATCATAGCTCAGACTGAAAGAAAACCATAGCCCAGATTGATAGAAAACCATATCTCAGACTGATTGAAAACCATAGCCCAGATTGATAGAAAACCATATCTCAGACTGATTGAAAACCATATTTCAGATTGATAGAAAACCATGTCTCATATTGATAGAAAACGAAAACACAGACTGTTAGAAGACCATAACTCAGACTTTACGCGTGCGCAACCGTGTTTATCAAGGAATTACCGTCGTCGAGTAGCTCTTTTTAGATAAGTATTCATGTCAATTTATCTCCATTTTCCCTTTTAATGCTGACCTTAGAGATCCTAATTTGATTTGATCTCATGGAGAACTATCCCACCAATAGATTAGGATCGATTTGGTTGCAGAAATTTACGACAGTTTTATAAAATAAAATACTACTCTGGTTTAAAGAAGAAGGGTATGTGTTATCATAGTTCATTTGTACAACTAAAAATTGCTACACATGGGTTTCCCCCCGTTGATTTGTAACACGTTAGTCGGGTAATTAACCTCACACGACACCCTTTGGACCCCCTTGTTCTAGAACACCAGATATCTCTTTAACAATAACTTGTGTTGCACTGTTGTTTACACTGTACATACATGTATTTAATATGATCGAATGTTGTTTGTTACCATCTGACAGTATCTGATCACAGGCGCCGGTAACGTAGAAGATATTTCAAAAATAATAATCAGATATCACTAAGTATAATGTCTAAAGTCTGTTACGTCCATGTTCGTAAGCGAGATTATCAAATAACTGGTCTGGGTTCGATTTCTAACTTAGGGACAAATAACTCGTCTGAAAAATCTACTGAAAGAGAATCGGTTTCCGTCGCGTTTTTTGCCACTGAGTTAGAAATTGGAATCAGGCCGGTTATTTGATAATCTCGCTTACGAACATGGACGTAACAGACTTTAGACATTATACTTAGTCATAGCTTGATGTTATTTTTGAAATATCCTTCCACGTTACAGGCGCCTGTGTATCTGATTTGATCGAATGTTGTTTGTTACCATCTACCAGTATCTGATTATTCTTGTATTTGATAGGATTTTGTTGTTTGTTAACATCTACTAGTATCTGATTTGATCGAATGCGGTTTGCTACCATCTACCAGTATCTGATTATTTTTGTAATTGATAGGATCGAATGCTGCATGTCACTACGATTATAAGAGTATCTGTTTTCACTGAATGTTGCACGTTACTATCTACTATAGTATCTGGTATGACTGAATGTTATTTGTTACTATCTATCGGCATCTGGTATTTGATAGGATCGAATGTTGCATGTTACTGCAATTATAAGAGTATCTGATATGATTGAATGTTGTCTGTTACTATCCACTATAGTATCTGATAAGATTGAATGTTATTTGTTACTATCTATCAGTATCTGGTATGTTTAAATGTTGTTTTTGATATACGTTAGTATCTTATATGATTGAATGTTATTTGTTACTACCTGCTGTTATTTGTTATGATTCAATGTTTATTGTTACTATATACAAGTATCCGATAAGATCGAAGGCTGTCTGTAACTATATACCAGTATCTGATTTGATTGAATGTTATTTGTTATTATTCCACTGGTATATGATTTGATTGAATGTTATTTGTTACCACCTACTAGTTATTAATCTTTATTTTGTCAATTACAAGGTATTAATAGATGTCTAGCCTGAGTGTTAAACAGGGGACTTGTCTAGTCAGACTGTATAATATTAACACCAAACATTGACGTGATGTAAATATATATCTATATACGCAAGTTAAATAATAATAAGTAGAGGGATATCGACATGTTGAAGGTGCCACCATAAGCACCATTCCTGGGCAGTAGCGGATTATCAGTGAGGCTGGTGAGGCTGCAGCCTCAGGCCCAAAGATTTTGTAAAAAAATTATTTTTAGACTTGTCTGATACGATTAAAAACGCATAGACAATGAATGTTAGGGGGTGGGGTTTAGGCCCAACGGGAATCAACATAGGCCCTGACCCGAAATTAATTAGGCCCACGCCATTTTAAATAGGCCCTATTGTTTGGAGATCTGATCTTATTTTTTAAACGTAGGCCTACAATGTACGTTAAATCCTTGTAAGTTTTCGGTTATGTCTTGCTTAATATATTGTATCCACGTGACGTCATTTATGGGCATATAAAGTTACATTACGTTTATGTTAGCAACTACCTTGGCTCTAACTTTAAAAACTAAATAGGCCCTCCAGCAACTGCCGCCTCAGGCCTTGGTGGAGCTTTATCCGCCACTGTTCCTGGGAAGTGTTCAGTGAGATATAATCTATATTATATCTAGTTTCAGTTTTCTGTATTATAAGATTAAATACACTTTAGTTTTTGTTATACAAATAAACATAATATAGACAACGGGGGATGCAGACCAGATAATTTTTGTTTTTCAATTCCAGAATTTCTCTAATTATTAACTCACCCAATCAGATTAAAATCAGATGTCGAATGTCAATTACATTCATTTTTGATATGACATTGACATCAGTGATCAAAACATGTAATCACAAGAGGGACGGCTGCATCCCCTGAAAAAAATCGGCGCATCCAGTGGTGCCTTTGCCCATTGGGGAAAGAATCGGTTTCCCCAATGGGCGCCAACGACCAGCTTCGAAGCCAACGACCAGCGTGTCTCTTTTGTCGCTAGCTACGGGCCTGCTGTGACGCATATATACAAACGATTCTCTTAGGTTAGGATTAGAGCATTATTTGCTGATACAAATATAGCTCTCTCTAGCAGAACAAAGTTATAATAGAAAGTATAATGCAATGTAGTGTAAAAATTAGAAAAAGTAAATCTTAAAATATTGTAATCTATATTCAATTAGATAGGAATCACCATGTACCTTAAAAGGACCATTCCAATTTGAACAGCGTTTTGAAAATAAAAGTCCGTGTAAGTATATGGAATTTAAGCGCCAAAAATGTAGAGAAATGGTGTATTTGCCGTGTCTCAAAATTTCAGCTCAAAATATCGACTTGTTTTGACATGAACGTCAAAACCGCTTATCCGGACACGTAACCCTTTTAAGATTTCGGGTCAATTCTTTCGTTGGGTGACCTTATAATCTATTGCCATTCTTTACGAGCCATACAGTGCATGTCCCACGTGCTGTACTTGAAGGTAAATTTCTCTTACACATTTATTATAAAATAAAAGTCTGGTTTTATCCAGACACCGTATAATACAGCTTGGAACACCGTTCTCCATTTCCAGATGAAGACTGAAGGGTCTACGTTGTTTGAACAAGTATCACGTATATTCAGTTAGTTGCTCGGCCCTAAGGCAGTGGATTTTAAGGGCTTTTAACACAAAATTAAGAAGTTTTATTTTCCAAAATATAATCGAGATTGGCTCTTTAAGAATAAGATACAATAATTGTATGGAATTGGTTGATGTATGTCAAAATTAAAAATATTGCTTTGCCATTTTACTATATGTTTTATAGCCCATCCTACATGGGTAGAAGCAATGGGGCTAAAAGATTGTATCTTCACTAGCGCATTTGTGATTGACTTGCAGTGCTTATCGTGTTTTCTTTTATTGTTTGTTTCATCTATGTTTTGTTACTCAGTTTTCATGCATTCCAGATTGTATATATGAATAGTACAGGTCGCATTTTAAAATGTTTAACGATTGAACTCTGTTGATATAATATTTGTTGCTGCGTCAGTAATTTTCATTTACAATGCTAATGAGACGTTGTATGTGGAATATTAGGCACCTAATGGTGCCTTATGGAAACTAATGATGGGTCATGTTTTCTACAAAAATTTCATCTTATACATTTGCTGACAATAAACGATGATAGGTCCCGAACACTCTTCCCGAATCATTAGAATACACAGTTGCTTCAGAATGAAGAACAAAAGAACGTGAATGCTGGTCACTGATATTATTTTATGTATATTTTATGTATATTTTATGCAATGTATATATATATATATTATTGTATGCAGTGTGTGACACTAAAATAAACAAATTACTTATTTCCTAGTAAAACAATTATAATGCTTTAGCATAAAGCGATACCGTAACATGTAAGAGAATAGACTATAAACAAGTAAGACAATAAACTATAAACATGTAGGTAAAATCCCACAAAATCTGACTTTATATTAAAGGAGAAGTTCTCGATATATTTTGGTTCATAAAGCTGATCAATTCAGAGTGAACTTTTATCCTAGTAATGTGCAACTATATCTGGGCGCTTGGTTTTCAAACCAATGTAATTTACTAAGATATCAACTAGGACCCTTTCTATTGGTCCCTTCAAATAGACAAATTCAGGTTTATCGCATGTAGTGAGCTGAAAACCATCGAATCAGTTTTAAATACATTCCCTATCTACTCCTTATGGTTGAAATAAATCAGTTATTTACGTTTTATTCGACAGATTAGATATCAAATTAACATTTAAAGTTAATTTTGTCTAGTAATATATATTTAGGATGTTAACATCGGCGACTTTAATAACATATATATTAAACAATTAATATAATAATTTAGGGTGACCCATGTACACACAGAAATACAGTCCACCGCTGATACTTCGAGACTACCACTGAAGCGTGCACATTCGCCGTGCCGAGACCAACTTTCTGACAGTATGATACTATAAATAGCCATGGCACGTGCAATTCTCTACAAATCTATCAACTATTACAGCCGTAAAAAAAATATTGTTGACGATTTTGAATAGCAGTAAAATTAAGAGCGGCATCTTTTGGTTTAGTACAAATAATATCTCTGAATCACTCGGGTTAGGCAGGAACATGATACTAGCAGTAGTTTCATTTTACTTTTACAAGCTTCTTAAAACGATTGTTGAGCGACCTAACGTGCTTATTTCTAAATTCAATTTTTTGTTCTTGTTAAGCGAGACTAATTTCAAAACAAGGGCACGTAACCTATCTTTTACTCAAAAGTGTCTGGATGTTATGGACGACTCTTGGAACCAGTTTTCAGTCTATTATTTATACATGATTAATGGTCATAGCTTATTAAGTACAACATGATAGTTTATTTAGTGACTATAATTGTGTGAAACTGATTTGAGGCTTGGCATATATATAAATATTGTGGCGTAATTGTCGAGATATATGGAGATATTTATTTATGGTGGGTCACCCTATATATATGATTAAAAAAGAATTAATGACACGTCGCTTCTTTTAACATAAAGTAGAACAGCATAATACTGATACTTTAACATAAGGTAAAACAGCACACTATAACGATACTTTAGCATAAATTCAAACCGCATATTACCAATACTTTAACATAAAGTGAAACAGCATATTACCGATAATTTAACATAAAGTAAAACAATATTACCGACACTTTAACATGAAGTGAAATATCAATACCGATGCTTTAACATAAAGTAAAACCGAATTATCGATACTTTAACATAAATAAGACATCATATTAACCAATAAAGTAATTCAACATAAACAATAATTTTCTTTATCATTTCATAATTTGGAGTTGAATAATTTGGAGAAAGCATGTTTGAACTGAACATTGGATTTCTGTAGTGTATATACCACCGGTCTTAGCGATGTGCCCAATAGGAATAATTTTCCCGGTTATTAGTCTGTAACATAGTTACTATATTGTGATTTAAAGTGGGTGATTTATTGCTAGACTAGTAATTTACAAATACATAATTTACTTATATTGTTACCTAAATTATCCCGTTTCATATATCGTCAATAGATTTCTCGTCTAGATAAAACAGTCATCTTTTTGTAGCAAAAAAAGAAAAAGGCAATTGAGTCCCAAGGCAAAATCAAACATTTACTTGGACAATATGCAACCAATACATGTATTTCACTTCCACAAAAAAAGATTTTGATGTTATTTAGCCTGAGGGTTGTGTTCAAAGAAAAGAAAGAGTTTAAAATGAATACGAATTTATAGACGTAAACAGAGAATCTGTTAATTAAGAAAGAGAGAGAGAGAGAGGTGGAGAGAGAGGGGCTTAACGTCCACTAGACAGACCACCCTACCCACTGTCACATACAAGCCGGGAATCGAAACCACCACTTGACTCAACAACAGACCTTACGTATTAAACCAGTGCCTTTTTGAACACTACCACATGATTGTCCCATCCACACAGACAGCAATAGTCCATTCTGTTAAATTAATTTTACATGCAATGACCAGCATAGTGACCATAGGTAAGTTTTATTAATATTTATTGCGTTTTATTCCAATAACTATTCCCAGTCGCGTTTTATCTAACCCGGCTTAAATTTCACACACCATTGAAACGAATTTTTGTAGACCTACTGAGGTTCTGATTCAGTGAATTCCTACTTCACATCAAGGAACGTGTCTTTAGACTGAAAGCCTTTTTGGCACACACGGTGTGTCGATGGAAATAAAACAAAGGTGTCCGATCATGCACCCAGTGTCCAGTGTCCACCCTGCCCGGCTTACGTAAACTACATTTTAAAAATAGTTTCCAAAATATACAACGTTCTATTATATCGGTAAACGGATAAATTTTATCTATACAATAAATGATTCATGATTTACGGGTTTCCTGGTTTTATGAGACTAATAATAAATAATATGACCCACCATAAAACATTTCAACTTCATTGACATGCTAAGTTAAAGATATATAGTATTTTACTGATATAAAAATGGAGAAAAACATATCTACTTTGAGCGAAGTTGACTTAAAAACTTACTTTAATCAACTGGTATAATATCTACACCCATGTGTCCTCATGAATGGAAGTGTTCACTAATAGATTCCCATCGTGATTAATGTCCGTTCACAAGGCGAACTACAACTGAATGAATGACTGGAAATCGCGAATCATGAAAGCTAAGGGACAAATAAAACAAGAGAGCGATATGGCAGCAATAGGAGAAACGGAGGAGGCAGTACTAGTGAAAAGCTAATGAAATAACCAGTAATGATGTATTGATTGCTGAAGAGTTTCAGACCGGTCTAATCCCCGGACAATAGAACAAGTCAAACATACAATTCACTGCTAATTATATCTAGTTTACATGTAGTTTAACATACTACATGTATATACCAACTTTAAACGACCGTGTCCGTATTTACATGATTGGACCAGTTTATCATCTAATCTAGGGCTAAGGAAGGGACGGGTAAATTGGACAAAAATACATCGCGTTAAAATCTAAAAGAATAGTATGTGGGCTTTGTGTGTTTGTGAACACGGGATTTTAAACTGATATTAACTTTTAATATCCATTATAATAAAGACGTACGTGGTATAACTGAACATTTTGCCTTTTTAGTTCAAGCATTCAAAGCCCATTGGTCTCATGTTTGTTTATAAGGGGATGTTAGTCGAAGCATTATATTTCCCCAAACGTTCGGGCAGATTACCATTAGTGTGCACACAGTTCGCAATGCGTTGCTTTACATTCACAGTCCGCTTTTAGTCCCCGGAAGACTATGCTGTCCTTTAATATGAACTCGTTCAATAAAGCTAACATACAGAATGACAAGACAAACTCTAATCTTATTTCATCAAACATATCCGTTTAGATCAGCCGCCATATCTTGTTCTAATCAAACCAATTCTTAATGTAAAGAAAGATTGGATTACTGATATCTTTATGGAAATGAAATCACTGAGTTGGTTTCAATAGATGTTGTGAGCGAATCCGAAAAGTTGCGGAGATTTTTAAGAATTTTTTCTGACAGATTTCGCCGCCGATATAGACCCTATCTTTATTTATATATTTTTCGAAAGTTTAATCTTTTCCAGTTCAATAGTAGGATCCCTGGGTTTTCTACGACTTGAAGAAGTAAAGTGATAATAACCGTTTCAGAGACTACTAGAAATTCCTAAACCTCTTTTCTTCAATAAACTATAAACTATACGATACTTTGTACATCAGATTATAATTATATAGTTGTATATTTAATGTTAAAAACATTCTGCTGCAAGAATCGTTCACAAAATTGTACAAAATGATTAGTAACACTCGTTTATACTGTATTCACAGGGATCAGTCAATGGAAGACAGACGGACATACAGCAGAATTAACAATATGCCACCACTTTCGCATAAAAAAAAAATCAATTCCCATGTTAAAAAAAGAAATTGGATAAGAGCGCATCCAGATTAAAACAGCTAAACCTTTAACTCAATATTATCCATAATGTTGGAAGTTAAGAACACGAATTAGAATTCAATATTAGTTCATTTCAATCAATATTGGAGTTATTATCTAAATGGTTAAAATATGAGATCTTTCACAGAATGTATGGATTAGAAATTACAAATATTTAAAATTAAATATAATTCACATTATATACACTCATATTATTTTCAATTTGCTTTTAGATCAGAGAACAGAGTGGTTATATTTTAGCAAGTATGCCAATTTAATCTACATGGTCTAAATATAATATTATTGGATGATTGATCAAATTTGAAGCGAGCTATGGTTTGTGTAAATCTATGTGAATCACCGGCTGATTCTAATACAATTGTTGCTGATATAGACGGGAAATACCTGGAAGCAAATTAATGAAGAATGGGTTAGTCTAACATGACCGTCTGAAGTGATTGGTTCGAGTGAGAAAAGTTGAATAGCAGGAAATGTATTTTAATGAAACCAAATTAACCACGAACGTATTATGAAAGAAATCCATCCGAATTGAGATTCATTATTCAGATTTATTTCTCAGCTGAATTTCAAATGGTTATCTAAAAGATGTTTTTCATCACCCCCAAGATAAATTTCGTAAATGAAAGACCGACTGAATAATCCACCACCAGCCTGTTATAAATGAAATACATACAATAGGGACAAAAACTTATTATAATCGAAAAGTATGATGCGAAAACCCCCAAAAGAAACCCAACTCTACTCCAAAAGTATTTTGGGTGTTATCAGTATGGTAATGAAGAAAATTGATTAACCCACTGACTAATGAATAATAATATATTGTAATAATGATCTAGTTATGTAAATTCTTATTACATTCTGCCAACCCCGGGGCTAATTTCTAATAATACAGAAAGCCACCAGTGGTTACATTAATTAGAAGTCATTGTTCTAAATAGTAGTGACGGGTGTTGTACACAAGCCAGGGAATACTGCTACCAATTGTTTGGTTAGCTCCACTGAATCCAATCTTAGTAATTCCAAAATTTCTTTTATATTTGTGGAATAAAAAGGTAAAATTATCCATATATATTTATATTTATTTGTCAATTTTAACCTACCGTAATATACTATTCAAAAAAAGTAGGGGATATTTGATTTTGGGGGCATAATACTAAAATATGCAAATGACTACGAAAAAAGTCACTATAGAACCTAACAGAAGAAACATTTCCAGTTACATGTGACGCCCAAACGCACCAATAGCTACCGCATGGAATGCAGGTGATGCTTGGGATCATCATGGGGGTCCAACCCAAGATTTGCACGACTCTGACTTTGAATGTTACAGTCATTGTGGCATTGAATTCCAGGGTGGAAACATCAGTTTAATTGTTTTAGTGACCAGAAAACAAATTTTGATATGCGTCGGCTTACCCAAAATGAAAGGTTACGTGCCCTTGGCATGCTACAGATCGGCACAACACAGGCGGTTGTGGCGCGGACGATGAATGTTTCTCAGTCTGTCATAAGCAGGCTATGGTCCAGATACCGTGATACACAATCTGTACAGGACAGACCACGCTCAGGTCGACCAAGGGCGACAACTCAAGGCCAGGATCGATTTATCCGTACCTTGGCCTTGAGAAATCGTGTCATCACAGCAAATCAGATCAGCGCTCGTCTTCAAACAGACACTGGTGTGAGAGTGAGTGGCCAGACGATTCGGAATCGACTGCATAGGGGTCACCTTCGCGCCCGACGTCCTCGCGTGATCCCTTGTTTGAGAGATCATCACATTCAGGCAAGACGTCGTTGGTGTAGGGATCGCCAACACTGGGATAATCGACGCTGGAGCAATGTGATGTTTTCAGATGAGTCAAGGTTCACTGTTGATTTTTTGGACAGACGTAGGAGGGTGTGGCGTCGTCGAAACGAGCGCTTCCAAGACGTTAACGTCATCAGACATGATCGATTTGGGGGTGGTTCTGTTATTGTGTGGGGAGGCATCACTGTTGCTGGAAGAACGGCTTTACATGTTGTTGCAGGGCGTGTTACAGGCCAGTACTACCGGGACAACATCTTGGCAGTCCATGTTGTGCCGTTCGCACGATGTCATGGCCGCCGTTTCATCTTCCAGGATGACAACGCAAGATGTCACAGGGCCAGGATCGTTACAGGTTACCTCCAACAACAGAACATCACCACATTACCTTGGCCAGCACTGAGTCCCGACCTCTCCCCCATCGAGCATGTCTGGGACATGCTTGGACAGAGGTTACGTCAACGTCAACAACGTCCTGCCAATGTCCAAGAACTTGCTGCTGCGTTGCAACAGGAATGGGACAATCTGGACCAAAATGACCTTAGACGTCTCATTAGGATTATGCCACGTCGGATCAATGCTTGTTTGGCAAACAGAGGAGGATTTACCCGTTACTGACTTGGTTGTGATGCTGTGGTAACTTTGCTGTTTGACCCCGGGTATCATTTAACCCTTATAATGGTCAGTCTGTGCCTTACTTAGTCTAACGATCATTTGGAATAAATCGATGAATGTGAACTTCATTTCATTTTGTCATTTGTTTCTTCGTCAGTTTCATTAGGTGACTTTAATAACACTTAAAAATCAAATATCCCCTACTTTTTTTGAATAGTATATAATAATTCAAAATTACCGATGACGCGTGATATGCATATATAACCTGTATATATTATAGCCGTTGAGTTACGATTGGAATTATGTCAAAAAGACAGTGGTTCGATTGATTCGCTTAACTCGAGGTTCCGTGTTCGATCGCTGCGTTGGCCGAGAAAGTTCATCGGGATTTTCCGGTGTTGGTCCCCCTTATCAGTGGGGCAGTACGGGGGGCCTGACAAGGGACAACCTATAGTCCTTCAAATGCGACGAAAAACCGAGATCCCGTGTACACATTTGCACGCGTACAAGTAACTGATCCATTGGCAGTTAGAATTCGATATAAGAGTAGGCCGTAGCGCCTCTGCCCGGGTACAATTTCCCTCATAGCACACTGTATGGCGTATGCCCGTTTTCTTTTAACACATGCTAACAAAGGCTCGGTTTTAAAATCGCCTACTCGTATGGGATTTTATTCAATTTATGATAATATGACTCTTAAGCGGTGTTTGCGCGATACCGCAGTCGGATGCAACGGAAGCTCGGTGAGTAAGACGTTGGCTCGATAACCTGGAGATCCCGTGTTTCATCCCGGTTTTGGCCGAGGAAGTTTACCGTTGATTTTCCGGCGCGGTTTCCCCTTGTCAGTGGTGCAAGATGGAGGGCCGGACAATGGACAACGTATAGTCGTTAAGAATGGACGAAAAGTCGAGGTCCTGTGTACACATCGGCGTGCACGTAAAGGGCCCCTTGACACTTACTAAGATAGGGCAAATGGTGCAGCACACACGCATGCTTTTGAAGTCATTTTGCCATACAACACATGTAAACAGCCTCCGACATGTTGTATTCGACAGTTGTACGAATTGGTTGTAACACTAAAAGCCGCTTTACGGGCACTCGTGCGCTTTGATCAATAGGAACAAACGTGTTAAAAAACAAATTTAGATAGCTTAAATACGATATTTATGACAGTAACACAAAACATAATTGGTACCATACAGATTGCTGCTGGACATTTACAATCATTGCAAGGATTTGACCATCACATTAATGAGTGAATTAAAAGACATTGCAAAGTATTACAA